ACTCGAAGATAGCCAACAATCTTCTTGAACAGATGACAAAAATGGGTATATCTCCAGATCATGTATTGTATACTGTCATTATTGATCACTGGTGCAAGATCGGTAGTGTAGAAATGGCTCGCAGTATTTTTCATGAGATGGTAAATCAAGGAATTGCCCCTGATGTAGTGTGCTATAATGCACTCATCAGTGGGTTTTGCAAGGCTCTCAGAGTTAGTGAAGCCATGCATCTATACGAGGAAATGCAAAGTAGAGGTTTGTATCCAGATGAGCTGACTTTCAAGTTAATCATTGGAGGTCTCATAAGAGAGAAGAATTTTTCGTTAGCTTATGGCGTCTGGGATCGGATGATGGAGAAGGGATTTACCCTTGACAGAGATATATCTGAGACTCTTATCAATGTCATCCATTCAAAAGATGCTTCCTGCCGTAACTTCATCAATGGTTTGTATCTCATGACTCCGCCTCATGCTTCTTTCTTGTGTGCAAATTCGTCTGAGTGCATTTCCATGACCTGCATCTGTGTATTCTAATCTGCAGTTTAAACAACTGTGCAAATGTTGAAATAGCTCTGCAAGTAGTTATTTTTGTATCTTGACCCACATCTGTAATGTGAATTAAAAATTAATGATTTCTGTCAGTAGGAAACCATATCCCGTGCTTCAGGAGAACAGGCAAGCAGGAGCTTACAAGTAACAGAGAAAATTATATGAACATATCGCATGACATGTATTCAGTTGTGTGACAAGAAACTTTACAAGTGTTACTAATCTTTTCTTAGCAAAACGAATTTAGGTTGAATTGCTGCAAAGCCCTCGCAAATATAGTCTCAGTTGATGATGCACCCGTCAAAGCCATGGCATCATGAATTACCACATATTCCTGGCTGATTCCAGAAATAATTGAACAGGTTGGGTTTATTTGTCTCCCTCATTTTTCACCCTTGTTGGGATTCTTGACGTTTCCATAGTTTGTTTTGCATATATGCCAAATTCAAGATCAAACAGAAAGATGAGATGAGACGACAAAGCTGAATAACATTTCAAGATATATCCATAGAGCAGTGGCTGTGGAATCATCGTGAAAGCTCATTGTCTGTTCTTTATCACCAGAGCCAATATGTCAGCTAAAAAATTACTCAAAATTTGCTCTTCTTTTTTCAGTTTCTATATGATGTGTGCTATTCTACACGTTTTGGCTCATTCTACACAGAACGAAAGCAGGTGCTCCAGTATCTTCATGTAGCAAGCCTGGGACCTTTGGCTTCTTGCCCTTGGGCAGGTATGAAGCTGAACTGGATTTCTGAAATATCTCATTATTATGATAGTCTAGTAATGATTTCTTTCTTCTGCCTTTCTGAAGTATTTTGAATGTACCAAGGACAAATATGTAATTCAAGAAAGTTGCAGTATCTCTGTCATGTATATAGTGGCTGTCTTAATACTTGCAATCATTAGTCTTAATCTATAAAAACATTATATGGAACATAAAAGTAACAAATAATAATTTAACATATTTATAACTAAAAGTTTTGAAAATTGAATAAAACTGACTAGTTATCTAATAATTTTTTCTTTCTTTGATTTCAAACATAACTTAAAAATGCTTAATCGAGTACTGAGCTTTTTCTCCGTGCAAGGTGAGGCGTAAGCCTTGCGGCTAACCAATAAAATAATTCAAAAGAATATAAAATTCAAAATTATGCTCATAATAAACCATGACCATTTTAAAAATTCACAAAAAATAAATTAGCAAAATTAAAATTCTAACTTTTAAACAAGCATAAAATAGATTAATAAAATAGCAGATATCAAGTTATCAAAGTAGTAATCACAAAACAAAACTGTTATATACTAATAGAAGTAGAGGCAACTTAGCTATCTCTTATACCAAAACTGCTAATAATGGAATCTTTAAAGGAATCATTAACATTATGCTTCTCATCAGTTTATTTTCATCCTTTTTCATCGTCGTCCATTAGCAGTTGTGCTTTCTCCTTCCACCTTCCCTTTCATGTAAAGGACGAAAAAAGAAAATAAAGAAACCCTATAACATTCTAAATTATAAAGAAATAGCCCAAAAAGCCAAGGTCGGTAATAAAATGTTAGAGAAACACTTGACAAACCAGTGAACACGATAATCCCGAGGCTTTACCTTGAGGCGTCAGCCTCACAAATGGTGCTTAAGAAGTAAGCTTTGAGGCATTTTGCAAAAGCCTCATGTGAGGCAGGATTCAAGGCATAAGCCCCAAATAGCTTTTTTAAACAATGATTTTAAAAGAAAAGAAAATAAACATAGAGACAACAACTAGAAATATATAAAAGAAATGGTTGCCAGTTGTTTGGCAATGAAAAGTACCACTTTTACTTGGTAGGTGGATCGTACATCAGTAGAGAGCAAGGACAGGCCGATGTTCCTAACTTGTTTTCTCTATCTCCAGTGTTTTCTTTTTAGTTTTACGGTTGGTTTGGTTTATGGCAGTCTAAATATGTACTTATAATGTATTGGGCTATGAAAAATCTGTTTGAAAAGTTGAGACCAGTATAAGGTAGCTCCAAAAGCATAGGGGATACTTTGCTTGGCTTTATGCCTCAAACCATGCTTTTGAGTTCGTCAAGACGTAAGCCTCAACAAAGGTCACAGATCATATATTGGCTCCCTAATGAATGCTTTGCATGCGGTGTCTGTAGGACCTGTGCTTTGCTGCCTCACCATTAATTCTACCTGTAACATTGGGCACAAAACTTAGTTGTAACACCAGTAATTGTTAATGGACTGAATAGTAATTCAGATGTGCATTTATCTTATTTGCCCTTTCTCAATTCAGGTTTGACTTTCTTTTCTTCTTTTTCATGTAATTTTTCCATTTCTTCTTCTTCTTTTTTTTTATTGTTTTTTGGGTTGGGGTGGGGTGGGGTTGGATTGGTTTGAGTATTTTTTTACAGCATTCCGTAAAGAATCAAAGATATGTATATTTTACTCGTGGAGTATACTGTTATTTTAAATATGCTCCAGAAAATTGATTCTATTGCAAACTTTAACCGTCCAATTGCAGCCAAAAGTTCTTTTCTTGATAAGATCAATTTACACGTCTTATTTAATTACCCGAGCAGTTCCACTTTTCTCATTCGAAAGACTTTTAAAAGCTTAACGCTGTTCTTCGATGTCGTATGTTGCATTACCAATGACTCATTTGATCTTAAACACTGCCTACTTGACCTTGTATCAGCATGATGGTTTTCCACCAGATATTAGATTATTTGCCTTTATGCTTAACTAATGTCTGTCTTTTTGTCTTTTCAGCAATTCTAGTACCACTTCTGATTCTTCATTTTTCCTTCTTTTTGATTATTTACATTTTTCTCTTCATGCTCATGTCTAACCTTTAGATGCGGTGATGTACCTTGAACAGGAGACAGGTCACTATTTTCTTCTACACCAGCCATCAACAACAATATTGGACTAGTTACTGATTTTCCTCTGCAACCACAGCCACGACCAAAGCGGGTATTGTTGTTCCCTTCCTCAGCCGCAAGTGAAGCCACAGCTCACCTGGGAATTGACCAGCATTCAACTACCGACACCATGGACATCTCATAGAGCCAGGCCAATAGCATGGCTGTGGCTGCATTCACTCCTGTGGATAAATAATTGTCGGAAGCCTTGCAGTCCTCATAGTCAACGGTCTACAATGTCACAGAGATAAAATTCTCAACTTTGTTGTTTTTAATATTGAGAAGAGCAGACAAGTCTTAACTTATATGCCACGAAAGCTCAAAGTTAAATAGATGAGCACTCAACAAAGAGGCACTGGAGTACCACCTCAACACGGATCTAACATTGCTTGCAAACATCACCAATCCCCATGCTAAGGTGAATACAGATTTCTGTAACATCGTCATGAATCTTTATTATGACGAAATTATGTGTTAAAACCATTATCTGCGACGTGTACTGAGTCTGGTTCGCAAATGTACACATGGTGGAAAGCCATGTTTGTGTTTGGAACGTCATATCCTAGAGCTGAGAAAAAGATGGGCAGTAGACGAGCTGAGAAAAAGATGGGCTGAGAAAAAGATGGGCAGTAGACGAGTTAACTATGAGAGAAGAGATTTATGGGGATAAATTGTCCTCCACCAGAGTCTTTAACTGGGGGAAAATGTGCATTGCAAAGCGCCTAAACAACAAATGGGACTTGAAGAGCAAGTGTTCATTTTTCTTATGCAGTGAATTCATTTCTGAACAGGATTGATTATTTATTCACAGATCACAATAGTTCGCACTTAATTCTGTTTGATTATTTTCTTTTGTTGTGATACAATTCAGTGTCACGTCACTTGTAATACAGTGATAGCATGTTTGGTAAAAAGTAAAAATAAGTTAAGATCTTGTTCTTTAACTTCAATAATGTCTCGTCTTGCTTTTTACACTCCAATAATGTCTGGTAGCACCAAAATTGCACTGTAAAATCCTAAAAAGTCAAAATTGAGATTGCAATGGGTTCCTCATTAGGCTAAGCCCCCCTGAGGGAGTCCAAACCGTGGAGCGATAGAGAAACCTGGAATTCTAGATCTTTGAGCTTCGTTCCATCAACTTGGCTTAACAATAGGTTGTGGATCAACCACGGCTTGCGGATCAACCACTTGATGCGGATTTTGTGGTGACTATTCCTGAACGGGCACAAGGAATCTAAGACCTCAAGGCACAGCCCCTTTTTGGACCCTTACAACAACAGTCTCATGGGAAAGAAAGCAAATTCTGTCCTCTCTCAGGGTGATGTGGTTGATAATCGTGTGATTCATGTCATAAAAATAATTAATCGACCACATAAGAGAATCTAGAAGCTAACATAAAGGTACAAAGTACAAGGTGCTCTGAACAACCGATATTTTCCAGATTTTGGGAGATAGACAACTCATAGAAGAAAAGGTCTTCGAGAAATACTGTAATATATAATGCATTACATGCTCCACGATGAAACAAGACAACAAAATCAAGATTCAGGCCAGCAATTTTCGCTCTCTATCAAACTTCGAGAATCTGGCATCCAAAGCACGAACACCATTATTTATATATCATGGAACCATGGCAATAATCTAACACATGCTTTTTAGGACCTGTACCCGTATCTGGTAAAGAAAGGATGCTTGAGGGCTTCGTGAGCAGTCATCCTGACAGAAGGGTCATGCCGAAGAAGCCCTCGCAAGAGGTCTATCAGATCTCCAGCTGAATGATCCACATGCTGCATTACTACATTCTGCAGTGACAGGATGAAATGAAAATGCTTATAAATGTACTGACCAAAGGATCATGAGGATAAACTATGGACGGGGGCATCGAAAGAAAAGGACTTGAGTTTACGGATCAAAGAGACAAAAATGCTGACAGTGAGACCAGGGGAAATATGACTAAATAGGCTCTCTTATCGAGGGATGACTAATATTTCTCTCTGTTTGTTAAGTTAAAATGTCACCAAATGCATCTGCCATTTGACACTTCAGCATGGATAATGTGAATAAATGTACACGTTCACTTTGAAAAAAATAAAATAAAATCAATTTCACGTGCCAATCATCCACCATATCCACAAAACTAGCCTAAAATGTTGATTTCGAAAGTAAATTTACAAGACAGGTGATCTGACACGAATTTACACCAAAGATTACCTAAATAAACAAAAATGCTAAGGTAAGTATAGCGAAAAAACAAAATGTAGAAACAACCTGAAGGCAAGGCAGCTTTGTGACAGCCTTAATGCTTTCTCTAGAAGTTGCACCTTCAGGCCAGTCCAACCTACCCCATTTTACATATTTATGGGCCTGCCGACTATGTCAATGAAACCACAGGAGGGAAAGATACTATCAATAATCAGCAAAATAAATGATAGAAATTATGAGATAAATTTCCAGTTCAATTAACATACTCTACACGTTTCAACATGTATTGGGGTAGAGGACCCAACACTCTCTCCATCATGGCCAGGTGTTCTAAATTCTCATGAGTCTGAAACAAAGCTTCACCCTGCATAATCATCAGATTTAAAAATTAAGGCTTCCCCCCATGCCTGTAGTCAAAAAGTTATTTGAACAACAGGTGAAACATTACTGCTGAATCATCAGAATTACCGAGCATAACTCAACCAAGATGCAACCAACACTCCATATATCACATGGATAGCTCCAGCCAAGTCCTTAAAAAGACACAGGCAGTCTCAACATAGCAATGAAGAACGCCAAAGTAAAGTAAGCGGTGACACACAAGAAAATTCTACATACCAAGAATAACCTCAGGGGCACGATAATGTCTAGTGGAAACAATATAATTGTATTCTCGACACTCATAGACCGCACTACCAAAGTCAATAACCTTAATAGCACTTGACTTTGGCAATCTCTTATAAGCAGACCCATCTCTTAACGACCAAGATGCAATCTGCATATGCAGGATAGATACTAAATGAACAGCTGACAGAAAAGAGTCACGTGGAAAAGAAATGAAGTTTGAATTTAAAAATAGCCAAGTCAGACAGCATAAACTCTTAGATTGACTAACATACCCTGAAGTCAGGTATTTTCACGTACTCCGGAGAAACAAAGAGTATGTTCTCCGGCTTCAAATCGGTATGGATGAGACGCATATCATGCATGACTGCAACAAAAGCCAGCCAAAGCATTCAAAGAATTAGAGTTTTGTTTCAGATGAGAGGCCTATATATATTAAGATGAAAAAAATGGATGCATCATCGCAATCAAAGTTGTTACAAACAAGAAAACTTTTAGTCAGGTCCCTAAAATGGTATGAAAAACGATGGGATCACATACTAGAATGGTTGCCACAAGGATAAAAAAAATGTAGTAGAATGATAGAGGTATTGACCACAGACATGCTACACATTCCAAAAGTTGTCTGCCAATCTCGCGGACTAGATCAACTGGAAATGAGCGGTAACTGTTTTTCCGTAGAAAATCGAATAAGCTTGGTCCAAGCTTCTCAAATACCTGTTAAGACCATTACATTCATTGACAAGCCTTGACTCCCCCAAAAAGTTGAAAAAAATGGGGAATTCATGTTGCTTTGAATTGATAATATACTTACTAAACAAATATGGTTACGATAATCAAACCAGTTCCGTAATTCAACACAACTGCAAAGAATGAACTTGTTTAGCCATCAAAGCAAAGTTCTGCATTATATGAATGAAAGACAGAAAAGCTGAAAATAAACAATAATATTATCATTGATTGTAAACTCACCGACTGCCATTTTTATCATATCTTCCAAGCAACTGAAGCACGTCAATTTCTACCATTGCTACTTCGCGATACTTCTTAATGCTTCGGACAATTTTTATTGCAACCAATTCCTTTTGTTCCCTGTCCCAGCATTCCAAAACTTGACCAAATGTACCTATGAAATGAGTTAAGACTTTAGACATGAAATGAGAAAATGACCAAAGTTTATCCCATTAAATATATTTCACAAGGGAGACTAACCTTCACCAATCTTTCTCAGGATCTTATCTGGAATGCAGTACAAAGTGGAGATATGGTGTAATACACATTTAAAAGAGGAAGAAATTAGATACTGGAGCATATCAGAAATTAAAATATATAATTCAATCAGCATTTTGGTAATAGTTGAAGATGGGTTATCATTTCTTTCCAATTGCATTCGAAGCCATTCCTCCTTCATTATTTTCTTATCTTCCTTCTTTTTTGGGAAAAGGAAGATGGATCGGTAAATAACATCATTTTTAAGATGTCTGGTAGAAAATGGAGAAAAAAGCAGACACTGCCATAACAAGTCAAAAAGACTGGAGCTATGCTAGATGAGAGAATATGAGATGGCTTTATCATGAAAAGTAAATAAAATTACAGCGAGAGGTTAAATTCTCTCCAAGCCCAAATACATAATGCCCATTTTTGTCATCATCCCGCCATGGCGGAGAGCCTCTTTCAGCAAGTCCTCTTGTGTATAAATTATTGAGGTCCACAGACACTCCTTGATGCCCATAATTTGATATGCTTCCAGTCTCTTGTCCATGATATATCCCTGGTTGGACCTACAAACAGCAATGTATGCATACTTCATTAAACAGAAATCAAAGAGAGGTTTCTCCTCTGCCATAAATTATATCACATCATAATATATGGCCACACTAGAAATTGATGAAAATTAGCTGACAAGTT